TTAGAACATCATCCACATATTGAAGACAACAGTCCTCTTGTCTGACTAACTTTAAAAATGCAAGATCTTGGGCTAAAGCTTGACCAAAACATGTGGGTGAATTTTTAAAGCCTTGTGGTAGCCTAGTCCAGGTATATTGAGTCCTAACTTGTGTCTTAGGATTAGTCCATTCAAATGCAAAAATCTGCTGACAATTTTCGTGTAATGGTATGGTGAAAAATGCATCTTTTAAGTCCACAACTGAGAACCATTTAGCAGTTGCTGGTATTGTGCTTAAAAGAATATATGGATTAGTAACAGTTGCATGTAGGGTCAAGGTTAGTTTATTGATGGGGCGCAAATCCTGTGGCGGTCTCCACTGTCCATCTGGCTTACGAACAGGTAGAATTGCAGTATTCCAGGGTGACTGAATTTTTTTAATGATCTCGTGTGATATTGTGTTACTTTAAGCTTCCATTCTTTGTGAATGCACTGAAGGAAGCAGCAAAACAGCCATGAAAGCGAAGGTGAGTATCCACAGACCTAGTGCCTAGTGAGACTCGGGGTGGGAGAAGGGAGGGAATAGCCAGGGTGAATGTTGCAGTGCCACTGCAGTCGATCGTAAGGGTGAACGACTGCCGTGGTGCGGCAACATTAGTAATTTTGGGACTTTTTTCATAAACACTGGGGGGTGCTTATTGCATAACTTCGAACATTCATTAAGGGAACACTCGTAACTCAGGGATTACCTGTAACATACAACTTTTTACTTTTACATAATAATACATACTAGCCATTTCTATAACAATCACCTATCTAATCAGCAAAACCCAATATCAAAGTTTCATTTTTTTCCCACCTCAACCAAGTCATTTCACATCGCTGTCCATTGGATCTATGCAGTGTAGATCCTTGCTTTCACTAATGGCTGCATTAGCGAGCTGGGATTTCTGCTGGATTTATTCCTGGCACATCATTAATGACTAGACTGCTCATTGCAGGTCCCCATTTTTCTCTAGAAGGTTGTTGGATGTCTTCTGGTGGACATAATTCAAATGTTAAAAGCATGTCATAGGTGGTCTCACAGAATGATACCTCATAAGCATTTGTTCCATGAGGGCAACCACCAAGCACAAATATTTATCAGAAGTCAAACTCATGAACCCACTCCAAGTGTAATTTATACCATCCCAACCATAATTTTTATTTTCTAAGAATACCAGTAAGATTTATATGCCAAGCTTGATACTATTTAATTTTTCATTCAATTGTTTTTAAATTGAAAGAATCTTTAAATAAAGAAGTCAGATAGGATATTGCAAGAGAAAGTATCTTTGAATGTGTTGACAACATCTCTTTTGGACATTAAAGAAATATATTCAGCATAATATAGTATAAGGTGTGCTTCTAATTATACAGTTATTGTCCAGAGCTAAACAATATTGCTGGTAATTTTTAAAACAAATGCGGAATAGAATAGAAAACATATTTTTAAAAGCCCTAAAATGAAATGTTAGTAGAAAGACACCCTTAAAATATCTAGTCAGAAAGGTAAAATATAAAATTAGTCCTTTATTTGGCATGATGGTGAAAGTTTAAATTGATTAAACTAGGCTTCCCAGCTTATTTAGCAAAATGTTTGATAAGGAATGGATATTCTTGCACATGTTCCATTTATTTTTTCTGATTATATTGCTTGACGTTATTCCAGAGATGGCTACCCAAGATTATCTTCGTCAGGACTGCCAGATGGTCCATGGCATTCCTATGGTCTACGCATTCTCCTTTGACTGGGATAGAATTGAAAATTTCCAGAGTAGGCCAGATGATATTGTGATAGCCACATATCCCAAATCTGGTGAGTTTTCAGTATTAGAAAAGGGGAACCTGGTGGCTTGTCACCTTTTCATGAAGCCTTCATTTTATGAAGGTTTTTTTCTTGGAATGCAGATTTCAATACAACTTCTGGCAAACTTAATGGGCTGTTTGTTTTCAGGCACAACGTGGCTAAGTGAAATTGTGGATATGATTCTGAATAATGGTGATCCTGATAAATGCAAAAGAGATGCTATTTTCAATAAAGTGCCTATGTTAGAATTTGTTGTCCCAGGGAAGATGCCAGCAGGTAAGCTTTGATCCCACTTATTAATGTGTACTTTAGAGACACAGGGTAGAAAAGATCAAGAGGTGCATCTGGCAAGTCAAATTCTGCCTTCCTTTATTTTAATTTCTTGGAATGAATAAAAAGATTTATGTTGTGAGGAGTGGAAATATGTAAAATATGTATTTTTGGAGGAGGGTCTACTTTGTCCATTTACGGACTGAACTAGGAGAAAAACAACATTTTATTTTATTTATTTATTTATTTATTTATTTATTGCATTTATATCCCGCCCTTCTCCTTACGGACTCAGGGCGGCTGACAATTGAATAAAATACTAACATATATACATATACTTAATTAAAATTTGATTAAAACGAAATATTTAAATATGTCCAATTTAAAAGTAATTAAAACCCCCTTTAAAATCCCTCAGGCCAGTCCCG